CTGTCCTGAAGGAACTTCACGAGGATCTATGCCCAGGGGTAACCTCTCCTCGCCAACAGATTCCCACGCGGACGGAGTGGCTCGGTGGGTACCTTTGTCGGAATTGCCGAAAGCTCCTCGGAAGGATCCTCCCATTTTCACGTCGCCGTCCTGCAGGTCTTCGAGGAGCAGCTCCTGGACAGGGATGGGCTGCCTGTACACTTGGTAGGCCTGACGCTCATTGCGAGTGACGGGTGACTCTCATTGCGAGTGACGGGCCGGGTCAAAACCAGGATGTCTTGGAAGAGGAAGACGTAGAGTTTCTGAAAGGGAAACCACGTTTGGGTGTGAGCGAAGCGTCCTACTTGGTGTTCAAAGCTGTCACACTTCCTCCTGGAATTCAAGGCCACGTTATCTGAAGTTTCACCCGCGTTAACTTTCCGACCGTCTCCTGTGAGAGCGATGTAGGGCCCTGGCGGTGGTGGCACAGGGCACACGTCTATCAGCAAGTTTATTATTTTAACAACCCTTAATAAATAAATCATCATTTACAGATGCCAGAACCAGGATGGTTAGAAGCAATATCCTCTCTGACAATACAAAAAGCGTTATGTGTACAGAAGTGTAATGGCTGAATTAAACAACAAAAAAAGCTCCTAGCCAACCAAAAAAGAAATAAATTAAGAAAACGGAAAAAGATTCGATGTTTAAGCTGAGATTACTCCTGCAAGCCAGGACAAAGGGCAGCAAAGCCCTCAAGTACAGCAGGGTCTTTCAGCCCTGCTGCAGTGGGAGATAAAACTTCTTGCAGTTCATCTCGAAGCCAAACAGGCTCTCGCAGGAAGGCTTTTGTTCGGGAGAGCTGCGCGCCAGCGCTCATAATGGGCGATGTCAGAGCACCTGAAAGTAAACAGCCGGCAGGAAATCCCTTCTGATGGAGTGCTCGGGCCCAGAGCATGCTGTCTATAGTAATTTTGCGCTAATTATTTTCCAGCTTCTGAAGGCCGATTGTCAAGCTGTCAGCAGTGCACTTTCCCTTACACCCCGACACGCAGGCTGCCATCAGGTGCTTTCTCTTCTGCTTTTTAAGTTTTGCTAATCAGCCAAAGGATGGAAGGGCTCCTGGTCGTGTCGTAACAAAGAATTTTAACTACCTCCGAGGGAAGGTTTTCCAACTTGAGAATTAATTACCGCGAACACAAGGGACTTACGTGTCCGTTTTTGTTCTTCAGCTCCCCGTGGCACAACAAAGCTTTGCTGCCTTCAATCCTTGGGTCCTTCTGCTTCTCATCCAGGTACTCCAGCTTGTCGATGTAATACTGGCACTCCGACTCGCCCTTCTTCAGGTTGATGTCGGACAGGACTCCCTGGATTATAGATATCTGTAAAACAAAGCATTTACATAAGGACACACAGCTAAGTACTGATTAAGAACTCCAGATGATGGAGTTCTTAAATGTGGCCTGATTTCTCGCTTGCTTTCCCAAAGAGTTACGGTCATGTTTGCGTGCGCTGACAAAACCAGCCCACGAAAGTGCTGAGGGTTTAAGAAAACTTTCTGGACACGCTCACATCAGAAATCACTGTCACTTACGGCTTCTTCCAGAATCTGGATATCGGGATGGTCTTTGGGAGTGTGCCTCAGGATCTCTTTCAGGAGCAGCGGGTATTTCACCAGCCGACTTCGAGGAATGTCCAAGAAGCTCCAGAGGTCTAGCTTGCGGCTGAAAGGCGACTCAAGGCAGCGCTGGAGGAAGTCCTGCACTCTCCGGTCCTGCTTCTTCTGATCCAGAAGCGCTTTGGCTGCCAGCTGATTGCTACAGTAACCTTTGTAGGCGTGGAGTCGCGGTAACTGCGGGAGAAGACATTCAAGAGTCGAATTCCGCAGTAGGAAAAGCAAATCACATTAACGTGTCAACCTCGGGGAGTTCTGCTTCCCTTCCTGCGATACTCGGGCCGATAAAACACGCTAACGGACGCTCCTGTACACTCGGCCAGTCTCTTGTGAGGAGAGCAAGGGCACCCTGCGTGCGAGGCCTCTGACGTTCAGCCGTTTGAGATGAACGGCGATAACACTATTGAAATCTCATTAGCGACAAAGAGCCCAGAAGATACAGACGTTTCAAACATAAATCAGCAAGTAATTGCAGTCGCACCAGCGTAAGTCTCCAGGGTGAAATCGCGGACCATTACGGCTGACAGAGTCCCATTGTTTTCAGCGCAGCCAGGATTTCCGTTTCAATCTTTCGCTCAAAGGCACAAAAGCCCACAGCTTTTGGGCTTTCTAGCTTTAAATGTTCTTTAAGCTCATTTTTAGCCCGCTGTCTCCAAGTTCTGTACTCACCCACTTCACAAGAATGGGCCCGATCTGCTCTACTGTTCCGTCTGGCTTTGTTGCTTCTCCTAAACTTGCCAACAAGTCTGGAATTAAAACACAAAAATAGAAACTGCAACAACGTCCCAGTTCTACATGCGAGAAAGCGTAGAGCTTAACTCTTAGTCAGCACAACACATGAAAATGATCCGGTTGCTCTTACCTTCATGCAGAGGAATATAAGAATCCAAGTCCCCAAATATGTGGGTGAGTTCCTCCTCAGACATGATGGAGAGTTTCAGCATGGGGTCATGGTAGGCCTGTCAAAGAACATCAGCGTTAAAACGTATTCAAATCTCCCAAGCCCAAAAGCCGACAATTTAAATATATCATGTGCAGGACGGAGATGAAGTGAAGTCAACAGAAATGGTCACGTCGACTTTGATCGCCAAAAGATTCGCGCTTGTATGAAGGTATCAAGGCCTTGAAAGGAAAAGGGCTTTCCTGTCAGAACTGTTCTCAGCTGGGAGAGGGATTCCCCAGGGAGCTCTGCAGGACTGCAAAGCCAAATCCTTTCTTTCGCCTGGGTTTGGTGCGCTCAGACCGATACCATAGGATTACCAACATCAACCTTTCTGGCCAGCTCTCAAACTGTGGGTTCTAGGCCTGATAAAGCCAACATATAATGTTTGCAAGCACAAAGAAACTTAATTATTATCTGGAATGTGATTGCTGACTGCAGGAAAAAAAAAATCCAACATGAAAACCTACAAACTCACCTTTCTGGCAAGCTTCAGGTCTTCGATTAGGTCCTGCTCTCCCCTGGACATTTCGTATATCGCCTGGGAGAAAGGGGATAAAGCATCCAGAGTCATTTTTAATCCCACTCTTCCTCTGAAAGAGCCTTTCAACTCACATAATGTACATCCTGTCTCTGGGGCTTTGCTGTCTGAATCGCTGTGCGCCGCCCGGGCACAACGACCTCAAGTAAATCTGCCGGCTTTCCCAGCTCCGAGAGAGCGACATCGCTCACAACTGTGTGAAAGCTCTGACGCTCATGCACGAGCCAAATTAAATATTAGCGCCTTTTAAATCACAGCTTTTACACAGGCGGGTACGAAAAGAAACAAAACCCAGAAAACCACAGAGGTCGAATCCCAGGCGTCTTCAGGCAGCTTCTGTGTTGTCGCTGGAAGATTTGTCTAAGAACTACAGGAAAAAGGCAAGCCAAGGCCTTGCTACTTGGCTTTTAACCAGTCGTCAAGAGCTTTAAGAGAAAGACAGCTGGCTTTACGAGGGACTCGACTTTGGGTCTGCTGCAAAGCAACCAGCGTGGCTGCCTCTTGAATTTCAGAAATGCTGAGTACGCCGCCCGGAAAGAGAGTTTGGCATCTCTGAAGGGTCAAACTGGGGAGATGAACTCTCTGGCAACTCAGGAGAGAGAAGTCTACCTTTTCCCATGCCTCACACAGAAATAAATCCAGTGGTTTAGAAATGAAGGCACACAGGAAGATAAAATTACCCACAGATTACTCCCTTCCCGGCCAAGAAAATGGCACAAGCCAAGGTTTGGGCTGCCTTTCTCAGCCGTTTCACGGACAGCCTACCTCCTGGCGCTTAATTTCTTTGGTGCTCAGGGACTCTTTCATGTTGACATCTAACATCTCTGACCAAAGGACACTGTTTCTTCTTTTCGGAGGAGTAGGAGCAGCAGATCTGCTACATGACTTCTGGGTGCAGACAGGAGACTTGCTGTCACCACGTAGGGCAAATGACTACAGGGATTAAAAAAAGAAAATTTTTAAAACATACGTAGTGCAAACATATCAGAAGTATAGAAGTATTATAGTCTTGTCCATACGCCTCCCAATGCTTCATGCTCCTCTGCTGTAGAGGGCAGGAAAACACACCCAGACACTTTTCCTCAGATAAAGGAACACTTTAATCAAGTTCCTGAGAAAGCCCAGGGACTGGCAAGCTTTGCCATGTGCCTCTCCCTGCACCAATCCAGCAGCAGCGCTTGGGAGGAGGATGAGGAGGCAAAGCTTGGGTCTATTCCCAAGGTATGAGGAAGTAAATAAACTAGGATCGTAATTCTAGCTATAACAGGGCTAAATCAGGAGCCACTTGTACTTTGCGATGTTACTAAAAGGCAGACACAGAAGTGCTCTTACTTGCGTGCGTGCGGTACAGCGTTCCTCCCACAACACTTCTCTCTCGTTACTGAAAGATTGCTGAACAGCAAGGTCAGCTCACATTTAAGCTCGTGCTCCAGTACACATATCTCAAGTACTGGAACAGTTTATCAACTTAATCAGTTTATTTCTTTTATTGCTTAAAGCCTCCATAACCTGCTTATCTAGCAAGCTACCTCTGAACTCCTGAACTCTTCTTCACCTCCAAGCAAGTTTTCTCTCCTTATGTGAATCACAAAGCAGATTTTCAAGAGATGCCTTCAAATCCCTGAGCCTGTTTTACCCCCAACAGCCAGTATGTTCCCTGTACCTCCAGATTCCCAGGACTAGAAGGTTCTGCTTTTTACCTGTATTGTCTGCCCAAAGCGCCGAACTGCACCATTTCTTACAGGAGAGATCAAGTTCGCCAGGGATGTGACCCGTGATAAAGGCCGAACCCGCTTATTACTTGGCTCCTGTAAATAAAACGAGAGAACAAATTGTACTGGCTGTGACTCCCACCTCCATTTCTCAAGCTGCCCAGGCAGGTTTAAAAAGCCAGAACCCACTTAAGGAGTGGGAAACACAGTGAAGAGAGTGTTCTGAAGTAGCCATTCATCTTAAAAGGAAAGCAGAGGCTGTAAATATTTGTCTGAACTTTAAGGCTGCAATTAAACTGTGGAGACTTTGCCCAGTGTAAAAGAGGTGAGATAACATACACATCCGTCAGAATTCAAAACAGGGCTTGGACAGGGCCTGTTATGGTTTGAACATAAATAGACTGAAGCGCTCTCCTCTGCAAGGCAAGTGACTGTCATCTAAAGATGGAGCTGCAAACTGCCGCTCCATTTTATCATGTTTTCCTTTGCAGAAAGAATGTGTTTTTCCATTTTAGTTTTATTTTGGAGAGAAAAGTAGCAGTCGGAGCCCAGCACAGCTCCAGCAGCTCTTCTAATAAATAGCAAACGACCACATGCTGAACATTCCTGTGAGGGACACGCACACACCAAGTGGACAGACTTTAAAAACTTACAGTTTACAGAGATTCCTCCCCTTCTGCTTCCCCGCTCACCCCCTGCAAGTCATAATTTTTCTTACGTGTTGCTTGGATTTGAAAGATAGAGCTTCTGCTTTTCTACACCACTAATCCCTGCCGGGAGCCCCGAGCGTTTTCAGTTCTGTCCTGACCGAAACGCTGCCAAGAAAGAGGAAACGCCCCACGGAAACCTCCTGCTGCTTAAGCTCAGAACGGTTTTTAAAACCGTGCTGGCAACCCTGCGTATTATACACCAAAACCACTGCGTGGTGAGGGCTGTACAGGAAAGGTGAGCACAACGGGAGGCCAGGAGGAGATGGACTCGGAGCTTAAGGCTCAGAGAAAGGCTGGATGAGGTGCCCTGGTGCTCTGAAACATCTGGCAGACGGTTGGACGTGACTCACCATCACAAGGACATTTCTTAGCATGAAGTTCAGCCGGGCTGATGAAAGCAGCCTCTTTTGAGTTCATCTCAGTAGAAATTTTACTAAAGATCTATCAGGCATTTTTCATTAATTACAGTTGAGTCCCTCCTCTTGGGTTTTGAAAAGCTAAAAGGCTTTAAGAAGACTGCTTAGGACAAGCTCCTCACTCTATTTCCAGCTCGAGGTTGCAAGACAAGGCGCCCAAACCCTTCGCTCCTGTGTAGCAACAGCGGTGACAAATGCTGGAAGCACAAAAGGGGAATAGGAACACACGGGGCTGGATTCCAGTCATGAGACTGAGAAAGCATAAAAGCTACGTACGCCAAGATCCGATTTCAGCAACATGACCCGAGGAGCGGCCCGTCTGGCTGCCTCCACGCAGCGTTAAGCAACAGAGGGGGTTAGCTCACACTGAATTAAGCCTTCAAAGTTGCAGGGGGCAAACATGAAAAGAAACCATTTACGAGCGACGCAGAACAGAAAGACCTCTTGGCACAGTGCAAAGCACGTTCAAAGCCGCGCTTGAAACGTTTGGGCGATCTCAGAACTACGAGGGTCCTGTAGAAATGAGGAGAAGTTACAAGAGAGTGTCCTCAACCCTGGGGCCCCGACGCTCTGCTGGGTTTAGGTACAGCACCAGGAAATGTACAGTCACTTCTTTTCTTTGCCAACCATGAGCCACTGCACTTAAGATGTGTATGGCAGGAAAAGGATTATGCAGAAGGCTGGAAAGCTAAGCTGGGCTTAAAAGTAGACAAGGTAACTTTAATTAATGACAGATGTTTATGAGAGGAGGAAAAGGATAGGTAATTTACTTCTAGAAAACCATTTTTCAGTGCACTAAAATAAAGGGACGTAAGCCAAGAAAAACTTAAGAAACTGCAGAAAAATATACAGACATAAGCCACACGCAGCTTCGTCAGGGCCAGCGCTATATAAATAGCACTGAAAAAAAGTGAAAATTAATAGCATGAAGCCTCGCTGCTTTAGGGTGCTTGTACAATCTTTTGCAGCCTGCTGCTAAAGGGTCAGCCCCGTGGCCTTTCCAGATAGGAGCTATGGTGACACGCTCTCTCTATGAATGCCTCCCCAGCACATCTGTCTCGGCTGAAGCGACACATGCTATGCATGAGGTCCGGCAGGAGGCATTCCTTCCCTTCTCCTTAGGACGGGAGGTCCAAGCGATCATAAATCACCACTTTTCTGAACAGTCGGTACGTACTGAGACATGCAAAGACGGGCTCCAAGTGAAAATTCCTGCTCTCTTGAACAAGAGGGAGTGTGGTTTCCTGAGAAGCCTTCCTCTCCTCTGCGGAGGGGGGGATTTCACACAGGTCTGCATGACCTGAGCGTTTTCTCTACCTGTGATGTGCTCCCCTGGGGTGCTCAGCCAACAGAAAAACTTGTGTCTGCTAGAAAAACAGCTTTGCAAAAGACCATTTCCCCTCTGTGATAGAAAAATAAATCCCACTTTCTGTCCTGTGAGTGCTCACAGACATGCATGGCTCGACTGTCAAAAAAAGTGCATCTGTTTCTTCTTCTCCTTCCAGTGATATCATTTGATCCAAGGCAGGGAAGGGAAAAAAAAAAATTCCCTCTCCTTAAAAACCTCACCTTCTCCGAGATCTGCATTTCAGCTTAGGGTCAGGCACTCCCCTTACAGTCAAACTCAGTCACGGTGTAAGCTGAGACTCTGCAGCTCATACTATGAGTAACTTTGGCTCAGTATTTTATTTTTTTTTCAGCTCTGTAGCTGCAAACAATGATTAGCCTGTCTCCACACTGTATTACTTACAGAAGCCCAGATTAGAATGAAGTCTGCAACGCTTCTGTAACAAGCTAGTGGTGTTAAGCACTACAGCACCCACAGATAATTAAAACCCCAACAGCACTTCTACCTCCATTCAGATTTCTTTTTTTCCCAGAGGACTCTATTAAAAGCGGATATAAATATATCATGAACACACACAAAGGCTAAATTTGTGCCTTGGCGTCTCAGTTGGCAGGCAAGACTTCACGCTAGTGGAATTTCTTCAAGTGCTTCTAAGCGCAGGTTAACTCGTCACATTGTGAAAACATCACACCTCGCTGCTCGGAAGCAAACCAGGCTCTAATTTTGAGCAACAAACATTTCCCTCTACCAGCACGCACACCTATAACCTTTCCCCTCCGCTAGGTAATAATTAGTGGTTTTTTACAAGGATCATTTACTAGAGAGCAATGTCCTCCGTGCCAGTCCCAAACCGATACATACGAACCCGGTGACAAACCTCAAAACCTCACGCAGCAAAACCTTTTCCTGTTAAGCCAAGTAAGCAAAAAGGGATTTTGGTCACCAGCTTGACTAATTCCTGCCAGGAATTGCCACCTGACTCTCTTGGTTTAAGATTCACGTGCAAGGAGCTCGCCGAATCTCCAGCTCTGTTCTGAAAATGCCTGCCCGCACTCAAACCCAGCAACCGGGCTTCGGGCTCGACACGTCAGGACGGAGATCACAGCGCTCGCCTGCCTCAAACTGAACAGGTTGTTCGCCACCAAGAAGGAAACCTGGCCTCGCACTTTGCTGACAACTTCGGCAGCTCTCGATAGCGACCCGGTCCCCGACACCGAGAGCACTGTTGGCTCAGGAGACACGACTCAAGCCCAGAGCCGGAGTTTAACTTCAGATACCCAGCGTACTGGTTATACCGTACAGAAAACACAAGTTTTAAGAATAAGATCTGCTCTCCTTTTGGTTTTTTTGAAGAGATCTGGTTTATGTTATTTCCCTCCCGACATCTGGTTTCCCTTTTGCACAATGAGATTGCCCAAGTTTGGTTTAACGCTGGGATTTGAAGAGGCTGGCGACTCAAACCCAGAGCCCTCAAGCTCCAGAGCTGTTTGGAGATCCTTTTTTTTTTTCTTCTTTTCCACCTCATGTCCCAGCTGATCTCGGCAATAAAACCCTGCCCAGGGCAGCCGGTCCCTACCTGGCTGCTGAACTTTTGCCTCCCCTCGCAGCATCCACCAGGAATGCAATTATTCGCAATTATTCTCATCTACATCACAACGGATGATAAAAACAACAATACTTCCAAAAAATCATCAAACCAGCCAACCCTCACGATCTTTTTTTTTTTGGTTTATGCGGCGAACGCCCTAATTAGGAAAAATCCTGTCAGTGGAAAGAGCGGGCAGGGCAACGGGTGGATTTTTTTAATAAACCCCGCTGAGAGGAGCGGGGTCAGGCGAGGCGCCGAGC